CAAAGAGTGGGTTCCGGGCTCCGAAGCCCCCGTCCCTCTGTGCCCCCTCCTCCGGGGCCAGGCTCCGCTCGCACACTCTGCCGCCTCCTCCCTCCCCCGTCCCTGCCTGCCCAGCCCCTTCCTGTCTCTGCGCTGCGGCCTCTGCACCTCCCTCCCTCCTGGGCGCCCAGACCTTCGGGCTCCGCTCTGTGGTCTTGGTCTCCGTACAGGTGTTGTCGCTGTAGAGGCCACCGCGTCTAAAGGGCCCACCCCTCCAGGCCACCGGTCCCCTCACGGTCAGCACAGTCCGCAGCGCAGCCTCAGGTCCGCCCACGCCCCGGCCCCCCGCCCCCCTGCTGGACCTCGGGCTGGGGCGTGTTTACCCGTGTGCCAGTGGGCCAGGGGGTGGGTGAGTCATGAGGGCTGTTTTGCCTCCTTCACACACTTGTGTTTTTTTTGGCGAGTAGTTACTGACGCCCAAGGGCGCATCGCGGCCATAGAATGAATGAACCACGCCCGTGCAGCGGGAGCTCGGAGGCTGGGGAGGATCAGGCAGACACTCGGCTCCGCGTGGCCAGGGCTCGGCTTAGCCCACAGCCTGCTGGCCAGAGGGTCAGGACGGCGCTCCCGGCCCGGGGAGAAGAGCCCCATCGGGCTCTTCTGCGGACAGGGGTGCCCTTGTTGGGGGCGAAGCTGCGTCTGTCTGGACTGTTTGCCCCTCGATGAGACGCCCTTGTCTGTGCCAGCCACACGCCTTTCTTTCCCCAGGATACTGGGGGGAGTGTTTGCCCCCCAGAAGACTCTTAAGTGGGTCAGACCAATCCAAGAATCAAATTAGCTCCCAAATCACTTTGACCTCAAGGCAGAAAATTCATTCCATGTGAAGGGACTGCGGGAAAGCCCCGCGCCGCCGCAATCACACGCCGCCCGCGGGCCCTTGTGGCCGGCTGTTAATTCATCTCATTATCAAACTCCCAGGGAGATTTTAAAATCCAAAGATTACATTTCATTTTAATTTAAAACCAAAGACATTAAACTCAAATTCCCTGTCCCCAGGAGTTAGGGCGCAGAGAGCGGAGTCCGGTGTGTCCTCCCAGCTTCTTGCTCTGCTCTCCTCCAGGACTCCGAGCACGGCGGGCCCGGGCACCCTCGCCTGCCCGGCCGGCGGCATCTCTGGTTCACCAAGCCCAACGCCAAGTCATGATGCCCCGGGGCTTAAATTAATGGGCACACAGGTCTGTCAAAGCCCCGGCCCCCAGGAGCCCAGGGAGGTGGCCAGCCACTGCCGGTCTCTGGAAGCCGCCCCAGCCGGAGCCCATCCCTGCCGCAGTGCTCGGCGCCCCAGGAGGCAGGCGAGGGCCCGGCCAGCTTTGCCGGGTGACGTTTCTCGGAAACACTCTCCCCTCCTGGTGTGAGCGAATCCGGGGCACCATCCCTCCTGCCCCCGCCTCTCCGAGTCCAGCACCACGTCCTCGCTCAGCTGCTCTTGGTCCGGGCCACCAAACCCAGCTGGGTTGGGGGGTTTCACGTCCTGGTAGTGACCTCTCTATCTGGCTGGGCTGGCCTCGAGAAGGTCCAACCTTTGCTCCTGAAATCAACCCCAGCAATACAACCCTCCCTTCACCGGGATCAGCCGGTGGCTTCTGTCCCCCTGCTTCCCATACCCGCCCCCTGCGTCCCCCGAGCGAGGGCCTCCAGCGCACGCGCTCTGATCCCAGCCTGGAGTCCTGGGGTCTGGCTGAGCCAGGTCTCGCCATCGGGCGGGGACGCAGCCCTCACGTGTTTCTGGCCTCTGGTCACGATCGCTGCTGGTATGTTGTCCTTACTGCGAGTTTAATTCTCTCTCTTTTAAAAGTAAGAAGCAAGGTGGGGCTGGACATTGTCCCCCGTCTGTAACACCGGGGCGGTCCACGTGGTGATGTGCGTCCTCGCGTCCTTGCTCGGTGTTCAGTGAGGGCACGATGAATTTGTGTGACTTGTTTGATGATTTAATATTCTTTTTTTTTTTTGGCCTGGGGGGCCGGTGTCTGTTGGTGGGTTAACTGGGCCTGTGGCTGTCTCCTGGCTTGGAGCCAAGTACAGCGGCCTCTCAAGCCAGCTGGGAAGCGTCTCCTCCTCCTCACAGCCTCACAACAGCTTATCTGGACCTTCAGAGTGGGGCGGCACCTGCCCGAGAGCCATTTGGGCCTTTGGCTATTTTTGCCAGTGAGTCCTGGTCGTTTTCTGCATTTACATCTTTCAGTTACTGTTCCGTTCCGGTTTTCTGCTGTGACCACTTGGAAATGTCCTTCTTTTGTCAGAAATATCCACCCCTTATAGGCCTGTATTTGTTTTCCACAAAGTCAGTATTCTAGCAATGTTCTCTGACGCTGTTTCTCTTGTTTCATTCTATTCTGTTAGAGTAGATTGTGCTTTTCTCGGTCTTCTTGGAATTTCTCCATTCTGTTAATGTTTACAAAGAACCAGTTTTTGGTTTTGGTTAATCTTTTCTACTCCGTTGTTAATTTAAATGACCGACTCTTGCCGTCAGTCTAGATAAACAAAGATGCGGGCGGAGGCCGACATCAGAGGCGTTGCAAACTCGAGTGACATCTTTAAGGGCCAAAGGAAAACCATCAACCTAGAGTTACGCATCCAGCCCAAATATCCGTCAACACTGAGGGCACGAGAAGGACATTTCCCAAAAGACAAAAGTAGAGAGAATTTGTGGTCAGCCGAAGTAGCTGTGCTGTCAGAAGGCCGAGGGGCCGCATGGGTAGGGGTGGAGGCAGAGATGGCCGGCGGGGGGCGTTGGGCGCTCCGGACTCGCTCCAAGAAATCAGAGGAGAGGGTGCGTGTGTGGGAAAAGTAAAATACCTTTATCGTCACTTTTGAATTCATGTAAAATAAAAGCAGGCTTAATTGTGCTGTATTTGGGGCTTTGTAACAAGCCATAAGAAGAAAATGTGTCCGCACCACCCTCCGGACGCCGCGTGGAGCGCAGCGAGAACGGACTCGCGCGGGTGCCGCGGTCTGCGGCTGTTTGAGAAACGACCGTCATTAGGCACCCGCTGTGCCCTAAAGCAACCACTTACAAATAAAACTGGTGGTAGGTAATTAGTGAAGAGCAGAGGAGGAGCAGAATATCCTCTCAAGTCAGGAGAAGAGGAGAAGGGGAAAAGCACAAGCAGGCGGACAGCCGCGACCCCAGCGCGCCTCGGCAGAGCACGGGCCCGGGAGGTGGCCCCGCGCCGCCGGCTTCCCAGCACCGTTCGTTAAAGACACGATGAAAAAGACCAGCCCGGCTCGTAAACGGGCAGGACGCTAGCGCCAGGCGCCCCGGGGATGGAGGCGCTGTCAGCGCCAGCCGGGGAGGGCCAGCTAGCGGGCCCTGTTCCCCGGGGTGCCCTTGTGGCTCGAGCGGAACCACACGCCTGCAGAGCCCCCGTGGCCGTGGCTGGGGCGGGCGCAGGCCCCTCTGTCAGCCCCGTCCGCTGCGTCTGTCCCGGAGGAGCCCGCGTCCCCGTGCAGGGGTGCCTGGGGGCTGCCGGCGGCCCCTCGCAGCAGCTGACCCACTTGCTGTGGCTCCGGTCACCCCCCACGTGTTGGGCTGAAGAGCAGACGACTTCCTTGTTTCATGAGGTGTGAACAGAAGAAAACGCGTCGTCTCCTTGTCCCCCCCAGTTCACGCGCCGGGTGACCCCCCCCCCCAACCTGGCCTTGACCCTCCCAAAGCTATTGCGTCCACGCGGTCTCGTCTGCGGGGCTGGCCCAAGGGTCGTGGCGCCTCTGCCCTCGCCTGCACTGGACCGAGCATTGCGCACGCTGGATGAGCTCCCGTGGGACGGCGCGGCCTGACCCGACTCAGGGCTCCGGATCCGCCCTTGGTGCCTCCCCGTGCCATGCCGTGGCCTCTCCTGTGCCCCGGGAGACTGCGCCCTCGGACCGTTGGGGGTTCTGCTTTCCCAGCCCTGCGAGGAGGCGTTTGCATGCGCCGAACACACTCGAAGGCTTTTGTTTCTCGCTCGCCAGGAGACTACGAGCGCTGACCCTAGCCCAGTAGGGCATCGCCGGCTGGGAACGCGGCTTTGGTTGGCCCGCGTCCTGCTGCGGGGCTGCCCTGACCCCGGGGCCCCACCTTGTGCAGGGCCCAGGCCGGCCCTTCGCATGCCCAAACCTCATGGGCGAGCCGCACCCCCCTTGGAGAAGCTGGTGCTGTTCTGGGGGCGCAGCTGTGTCGCCCTCACCTGCTCAGGGCACAGCCAGGGAGAACGGCCTCTGCAAGGAGAAAATGACGTCATTGATTTCACGCTCGTCTTCCTAATTTAGCTTTGAAGGTAAAATTCACTTCTTTGCCTCGGTGCTTTTCCGTGCTGAGAATCCAGTGACAGTCACTGTCCACCCATTGCTTCCAGCCAAATACACGAGCAGAGCCTGGAGTCGGGGACCGGCCCCTGTGTCCTGCCCGCCGGGGGGCGTCGAGGGTCCTCTGGCCGCGAGCGTCCCCCAGGGCGCAGGCACAGGCCGCTGCTGCTCTGTCCCGCGGTCTGTTTCTTGTTGGCGTTTCATGTCGTCAGATGAACGCGGGTCTGTCTTCCCGTTACACAGTTTACAGATTCAATGTTTGAGCCCTCTGACATGTATGCAGGGTTCAGAAGCCAGAACCCCGCAGCCGGGCGTGCCAGAGGCCGCCCCCCCACCGCCCCGGCCGCGTCCTCCCTGTGCCCCCCGCGCCCTGCGTCGCGCGCCGGCCCTTCGCCGCTTTTGGGGATGGAAGAAATACGTGCCCCTCCCCACAGGGTCGCAGAAGACTCACCCTCGAGCCCCCGCCCTGCACGTCGGTCGCCCGAGACTCCCCCACTCACTGCAGCCCCCCACCCCTCCCGATCACGTGACCAGCGAGCGCGCCCTCCTTGTTTCACTGTCTTTAAGTGTTTCTGGGTTGAGCGGCGAGTAGCAAGGCGGAAAAGGAAAACAAGTCGCCCACGGTCTCCGCCCCACCGGGCTCTGCCACGCGCGTAAATCTGTCTGCTCCTCCCCAGGTGAACGAGCTGGACGGCATCCCCTTGATCCTGGACGGCTGCAGCGTGGACGACAGCAACCCCTGTATCCTTCCCCTGCGAGGTGTGGGGGGCGGCCGCAGGCGCTGCCCCGAGCCGTGTCTCCAGCCCGCGCTCCCCTGACAGACCCTCCCAGCCGGCTCGGGGGAAGCCCCGGCAGAGACCTCCCCGCGGCCCGGTGTGTGCCGCCGTCGCCTTCCCAGGCCGTGACCACTCCTGGCGGTCCTGGGCCGCGCCTCTCGGGGCCGCTGTGACATGACAGTGGTTCCGCCACCTCGGACATGGGCGCCCGTGACCCCGGGAGCAGGAGGCACATTCAGTGGGGGAGGGAGGCCTCGTGTCCTTCAGAAATGATTCTGAAGCTGAGGCGCGGCCTTGCCCTGACGTGGGTTGGCCCCTTGGCAGGTGGTCTGCTGGCGCCTGCTCGATGCCCGCGCGGGTCTGAGGTGTCACCTCCCCAGGTGAGCCGGGGCGGCCGAGAGCCCTGGCCTGGCTGCCCGGGCCTGCGCTGAGCGGTGGCTGAGGACGCAGACGCTGAGAGCACGACGCGTGGTGCGTGGGGGTGTCAGTTGCGGGGGCTGTGCCTGCTCTCGGCACAGGAGAGCTTCTCCCACAAAGTCTCTGCTGCTCCTGAGGGCTGGTGAGCGGCTCGCCATGCTGCCACCCCAGGGGTTGGGCGCCGCCCTTGTTTGCCAGACGTGCCGTGAGGCTTTGCGCTGCACGAGAGGCCGAGGTGGTCAGGCGGGCGTGAAGCCGACATGCGTGTCCCTGGTGGGCTCCCGCCTCCCCCGGCCCCCTGCGGCCCTGGGCACTGGTCTCCTGCAGGCCTTTCCACCCAGGCGCGGCCTGAGGCCTGGAGGCGCAGGGCTGGTGTCTGGCCACGGCCGCCGCGTGATGACCGGTGCCGGCCGCGCTGCGTCCCAGCTGCCCGCCAGGAGCGGGTTTCTCCTCGGTGGTGTTTCCAAGCAGAAACAGCTGAGCTTTATTGGAAATGTTTTTCTTTCACTCTTTTTGATCTGTGTTTGCCGATGTCCTTGATGTGGGCCTTTTTAACGCTGTTTTCATTGGAGTGGCCGGGCAGGGACCAGCCCAGCCCCGAGCTTGGTTTTCCCCTTTTCCTGCCCCTCTTCCTCCTCCCTCCCCTGCGCCTCTTTCCCCTTGGTGCTGGTGGCCTCCGTGGTGCCTGTGACCTGCGAGCAGAAACCCAGTTTATAGGAATAAGCGGGCGCTGTCTTCATGGCCCGGGAGGCGGGGCGGGTCTGCCCTGGGGCCCGCGGGGGGGGCGGGTGCAGGCCGGGGTCTGGGAGGTGCTGGGAGCGGGACTCGATGCCTGGTTGTTCACACCGATAGCCCGGGAGGGCGCGTCCCCAAGGGGAGAGCCCGGGAGCCCTCGCGGCAGGCGGGCAGGCAGGGCTCCCCACGAGGGTGAGCAGGGCGAGCCCACCCCACTCACAGCCGCTCGCGCCCGTGAGTCAGCCCCGGAGTGAGGGGTAAAACGGGGCTTTAGAAGGAGTCTTAGGAGACTGTAGCTTTTTTCTTGGGAAGGCAGCGATTTCTTAAACACGACCTTGTGGCCGTGACCGATGAGCGCTCCCTGTGCAAGAAGGACTTGCAGCACCTCCTGATGCATCTGAGAAGGATGCAGGGCCACCACACATGAACAGGGGGCTGGGGCTGGGCCTGGGGCTCGGGGTGGAGCTGGGGGCTGGAGCTGGGAGTGGGGCTGGGGCTGGGGAATGCTCTGGTGCTCCTAGGCCAGGGAGAGGTAACACGCTGTCCCCTGCACCCCACCCCCTGCACCCAGATCAAGTCAGCATCTAAATAGACCCATTCAAAAGTGAAAGAGGAAGAAGGGTCTGTTTTCTGTAGCTTTTAGGGTATCCTGGCAACGGCTTCCCAGGGCTTGAACCCGAAAGTTGGAGGCTCAGCTTCCCCAGAGTGGGCCCAGGGCGCTCTGGCAGCTGGTGCTCTCCTTCCCCCGCCCCGCAGCTCCCGCCCCCCAGGGCAGAAACGGGAAGCAGAAGGATTTTCACACAGAGGAGACAGGTGCCCCGGCCCCCACTGGCCAGCCATCCCTCACAGCCTCCCTGCTCTGCCTGTTCTGCGCTGGCTCGCTGTCCCGCGAGGCCGGAGGGGGCGGGTGCTGCCTGGGCTGCTTGCACAGAGAGCGGACGGCCTGAGGTCTCTCTCCTAAGTCAGCAGCTGGAAGTGCCGCCTGGACCCCAGGCCTGCGGTGCCCTCCCTCTCACCCGGGCGCTGCCTGGCTGTGAAAGCTGACGTTGCCTGGCATCTACTCAGCGGCCCTGCCAGCCTGGACAGACCACGCCGGGCGCCCCTCCTGAGCAGGTGTCCAGCAGACACCCCTGCCCTGTCCCTGCCGGGAGCTGCCCCGGGAGCGGCCCCGCGGCTCACAGGCCTTCGGTGCGGCTTCGGTCAGCAGTGGTGGGGCTGGGGCTGGCCCTGGAACCCGTCTGGACGTGGGTGCCCGACTGTGGCTGCGTCTCCCCTGCTGCGCTTTTAAGCGGTCGGTAAAATGATCCCAGAAAACGCAACGTACAAAATTAGTTCCAGTGCGTCGGGCCTTTGCCACCAGCACCTGCGGCTGTGAGCACCTGCGAGCACCTCACGGGGTCCTGGGGCAACGCTTTGGCAATTGCCTCCCGCTTTGCTCCCCCTGCCCGCGCCCTGGCAGGGTTGACCCATGACTAGGGGCCAGGCGAGAATCGCCCCTTCAGCAGGAAGCAGGGCGCCGGGCCGGTGCTCTGCCTGGTGGGCAGGGCGCGTTTGCCAGTGTTCCGGGCCTTGGCGCCAGAAGCGCTTCCAGAACAGTCTAGAAGCTGGACTGCTTCTTTGCACCCTGAAAAATCTGTGCAGGTGCTTCTGCATAGTCTGAGGAGACTATTTGAGATGGGAAAGCTGCTCCTTAAGCACCTTTGTTTTGGGGAACCTTGTCGTAGCTTTTCACCCCGTGAAGCGGGTGTGCCCGGCCCTGCTCTCAGACAGCCCCCAGACGCCTTCTTTCGGGGGTGCTCCTGCCCCCACCCGGGGCAGTGCTCTGTGGAGTCGGCCGCGTCATCCACGGGTTTGTGGCCGTATGTGGGCCTTTTGTATAAAAATAAACCTGAGGGCCATATCCTGGAGCAGGATGCAGGCGCGGCCCGCGCTGTGCTGGTGTGAGCGGCAGGAGCCGCGTCCCCTGCAGACGCCTGTGGCCGCCTCCGCGCTCGAGCTGCGTGGCGTGCAGACCCCGACCCCGCAGAGCAGTGAGCTCTTTTGAGCATATTTAACTCGTTTTTATTCAAATAAAGTCACGTTTTCAGTGCCAGAACGTTTAAAAGCTCATGTATTCATTCAGCAGATACTTGCTGGTGCCTTCCATGGCCGAGGTTGGCAGACCCGGAGTGTAAAGATCTAAATCCAGTAAATATTTTTGGCTCTGCGGCTGCATTTTCTCTGCCGCGGCTCAGCCTGGAAGCAGCCTCAGGGGGTCCAAGCAAACGGGCCGGGCTGGGCGCCAGTCAAGTTTTATTATGGAGACGCAATTTAAATTTCAGATAATCTTCATGTGTCACAAGGTGCTATTCTGCATTTTCCCAGCTGTTGAAAATGTAAGACCGCCTCAGCCAGCGGCCTCCCCAGCGGGCCACTCAGCATGGCCGGGGCCAGCCCCACCCGCCTCGGGGCGCGGGCGCCTTTCCTGGCGGGGGCATCTTCCCTTCAGTTCGGCCTTAGCTCACCTGACTCGGAGGTGACCTGTCACCTTAGCAGGATCCTTCCTTGTCGTGAAAGGGCTTTCCGGGTCGCGCTGTCGCCCCACCTGGAGTCTCCCCCGCCGCCGCCCTCCCGTGCCAGGACACCGCTGGTCCTCCCCTCACCGGGGAGTCCCCGGGCAGTACCGGGCGCCAGCCTGGCGCCTCCCGTCAGCAGCCACGGGACCCGTGAGCTCTCTCTGAAGCTCAGCGCAGCGCCGGTGTCTGTGGGGGGCTCACTCTGTTTCCTCTGCGGCGGGGGGGGGTCATCTGGGTGGGAGGCCCCCCCCCCGTCATGTGGTTGGAGCTCACACAGTCTGAGAACCCGCCTCGCCATAGGTGGGGGACTAGGTCAGCTTCAGGGGTCCTGACTACCCAAAGGCTGATACCTTAGGGGCCAGACACCCATTTCTGGTGTGAGAAATGCCCCAGTGGGAAACACCTGCTGGTGGGGAGGACTTTGTTTTTCCTGATCCCTTTTGTGGCAGGGAGGGTGGGTGGGCCCTTCACTGGAAAAGTGAGTGTGTGCGTGTGCGTGTGCATGTGCATGTGTGTGTGTGCGTGTCCATCAACAGCAGAGGTGGCTGTTCTGAGTCCCTGCTTCTCGTTCCTTCTTTCAACAAGTAGGTACTGTGCCTGCGTGCGCTTGTCGTGGGTGTCCCACGCTCACACACAGACATGTGTGCACATGCCTGTGCTGCATCTCCAGCTCCTCCCACTTGGGTGCCCATCCTGAGCACAGTCCCCAGAAAGCGGGTGCTGGGTGGGGTGCCCGCGGAGGGGCTGGAGCGGACGCTGTGCCGGGAGATTCCTTCACTCTGCCCAGTTCTGACCCAGTGGGTGGTGTACGCCATCCGGAACCTGACGGAAGACAACAGCCGCAACCAGGACTTGATCGCCAAGATGGAGGAGCAGGGCCTGGCAGACACATCCCTGCTTAAAAAGATGGGGTTTGAAGTGGAGAAGAGGGGTGACAAGCTGATTCTGAGATCCACCAGCGACAAGCCTCCGCAGGTGAGTCCTGAGCCTCGTGTCCCCAGGGCGCCCCAGCCCCGGTCACGCCGGCTTCCGTGACACGCGGTGGGCCCGTCCGGCCTGCGGAGAAGGCCGGCCTCTGCGCTGCCGTTTCCTTCGAAGAGTTAAAATTTCAAACTCCTCCTAGGGGAGAGAATAAAAAGTCCACCGTTTTCACATGGTCCAGAAGGTTCTAGCCGGAGTTAGGGTCTCCTGAAAGGGAGCAGATGCGGCTGCGGGGCGAGGCGGGAGCGGGAGCGGGAGCAGGTCTCCCCGCGTCCGGCCCCTGGACTGTCCTTGTTCTCTGGTGGACGAGTCTCACGGAGAGACTGTCAGACCTGCAGCCCGCCTCCCTTTTCTCCTCAGGAGTGAGCTCTCCAGACACCGGATCTTCGCCTCCTGCCTGCGGAGTTTGTCCTTCTGTGGCCGTGACGTCGCCCGTGTCCGGAGAGTCCCCAGTCGGATTCGGGAACATGTGAATCTCTTAGATGATAGATGACCGCGCGTGTAGAAGCTTAAATGTGCCCGTACATGAGCGTCCCGGCTTTTTCGTTTTTGTTTTTTGCTTTAAAAGTGTAGCCGTCGGGTTTGCCTTTGTCCCTGAGGGCTCGTGTGCACCTGAGTGGTTTCTTGTGCTGACCTGTGGCGGCAAATAATAAACTCGCCTCACTGAGGGCGCCTCCCGGCTCGGGAAGACCTCGGGCTCCGTTCCTGCCTCGCCCTTTCATTTTCCTCTCTCGGCAGGTTTTCTGAGCCCTGGCGGGCGCTGAAGTGGTTTCTCACTGATTAATTCTAAGTCTCTTTTCACCCTTTCTGCCTTTCCCAAACATTGACAAGACTCACTTCCAGTTAATTAATTGGAGAGAGGCTGAGAGCAGCAGCTCCCTCTTCGGGGCCTGTGTGGGGCTGGGCCCTCCCTCTGGAATGCGGCTGGGGCTGGGGAGGGACTGGCCGTTAACTCTTCTCCTTCCAGACCCGCATCTCCCCTCCCTCCTGCCACGTGAAGGGGTGCCCCGAGGTCGGCTCTGTGCGCTGGGCCCCGCGTGCGGTGCGGCTGGAGGGGCCCGGAGCCACACGGGGCTCTGGGGCGGGAGTGACCAGTGTGTCTGCGGGCGCCTCTCTCTCTCCACGCCCACTCACATCAGGGGCAGGGCCAGTGGCAGGAGTCCTGAAGCCTTGGAAGCATCCAGATGTTCAGGACGGGCAGAGCCTCTCGTGGGGAGGGTGCTGGGAATGCTGAGCCACCCAGCCCTGGGCCACCGCCTCACCGAACTCCAGTAGTGAGGGGTTTGCATGGGGCACCTCGAGCTCCTAAACAAAGCAGACAGACACCGCCGAAGTCCTGCAGAAATGCGGGCCGCTCCGCAGTAGAGCGCTGTGAGTCTCTGGGGTCACGCCCGCGTGGCCTGGCCTGGTAGTGGAGGCGGTTTCCCCGCTGGCTCCCTGTGTGCTCTGTGACGGAGGCGCCCTCGACTTCAGGACTGTCGTCACCGAGTAACATTTTTCTCTTGCCAATGAAACTCCACCAGCAGAGGAGCTATGCGGGGTTGTAAACACACAGAGAAGCCATTCTGCCTAGAGCACAAAGAGTTAACACCCGGTTCTCTAAATAGAAGCTTGACCTGGGGGGGTGGGGGGCATGGGGGGGTCCCTTTCTTCCTTTCAACAAGTCTGCAACAGACCCTGCTCTCCCCTTGGTGGATGCACACACCCCGGGGCCCAGGAGCGGGTGGTGTGAGTCTGCAGCGGACACCCTGACAGGAGGGAGGCTGTGCCTGCGGGAGGTGGGCTGTGCGTTCTGAACAGGGGTGTGGCTGGCCTGGGAGAAGAGCTGGGGGCCTTGTCGTGGCTGCCGGTGCCTTCGGGTGATTCCCTCCGGCACAACAGCTTCCTTGTCCTCCCAGTCAGCCATTCAGAAGAAGCCGGGCCCTGCAGGCTCTGTGGAGACAGATCACAGCGAGTTTTATGAGTCTATTGTCGCCTTCAAGAGCAAATGGGGCAAAGCAGCTCCATCTTGAAGCCTCTTCATTCTGCAAGAGCAGAGAAAGGCACTTTCTTGCTTGACACTGAATCCAAATATTTGCAGAATGTTGCTTTGACAGTGGGCGTTAAGAGTCAGAATACTTACTTGCACAGTCTTGACGATACACTGTCGGGATGTGTCTGGCGCGTGCTCACGCACAGGTACCACGCAGTGCACCTCGCCGGGGTTCAGAAACTACCAACAAGGTACTTTTTTGTGCAGTAACTTCTAGATCTAACTGTAGGGCTTTGGGGACTAGTAAAATACGTTCACTTTGCAACATGGGGCATAGAGAAATAATTGAAGTATTTGGGGCTATCGGATAGCAAGCTTTCAGTCAGGGCAGCATCTAGTGTGTCTGGTGTCCACCCTCTTCTGCAGGGGTTGATACGCTTCTCCTGTAACACCGGAGACTTCCATATTATTTAAATGACTTTCTACTACCCCTCAACTTCTATTCTTGAATGAATGAACAGAGGTGCGGGGACAAAAGCGCCAGTCTTTGCAGGAGGGAAACTTGCAAACATACGAATCTCATCATTGTTGACACCTGCATGCGGAGGAGGCGGCCTGTCTGGAGAGGCGTAGAGTGAAGGTGGATTCTAAAAGGCAGAGAAGTCCAGCAAGGACCTGCCGGGCCAGGTCTCCGCGCGCCTGGCGGGCGCTGTCCAAGGTCCTGACGCCCGGGGCCGGGGCCGGGGCCGGGGCCGGGGCCGGGGCCGGGGCCGGGGCCGGAGCTCAGACTCGCCCCTCGCGCTTGCGGGATGCGGATGCGTTTTCTTCTTCCCCACGCGTCTTTACGTGTCCTTCGGCTCTCTCAAGTCACACCTCACCTCGGTGATGGTTGACGCCGTGCGTCTGACTGACCGCCTACAAAATAGGTGAATTTTAAAAATAACTTCTCCTGTAAACAGAATGGTGGTCCCCGCCCGCTCAGCAGACTTTCACCGGAGGCGGATGTGCCCACGGAACGGACTCCGAAGGGCCTGATGTTTCCTCGGGCTTAAATCAGAAACACGAAACGCGTTTCTTTTTCCTGGACACGTGACTGCCTCCCTCCCTCACGCTCCTGACGTCAGCCGAGCCCCACGGCCACGCCGGGCCGCCCGTGCCTGGGCCACCGCGTGCGGCTTCTGTGCCCTCAGTTTCCTCCGAAACGGGCCCAACACCGCCACCGCCTGGAGCGCAACGAACGAGAGGAAGCGAGCGCTCCGAGTGCTGGGGTCCCGTGACCGGGCCTGTGGGGCCCGTGTTCAGCTCTGGCCCCCGAGGGCGTCTGACGGACGTGTCTCCTGCCCCCCAGGTGGAAACGGCACCTACAGGCCGCGTTCTGTGTGCCAGGCTGTGTTGAGACAGTTCGGCCTCCGCAGCCCCCCGGCCCCACAGCAACTGCACCCCGAGTTCTACCGTGGAGCTCGTGTCCTGAGGAGGATGCCAGAAAAGGCACCAGCAAGCCAGGAGATGGAACGAGAGCCCCGCGGCTGGGGTGATGCTGTGAGGAAGACGCACACGGTGCTGACAGAGTGGTAAGTCGGACACTTACAATGGAGGGTCAGCCAGGACCCAGGCCCGGGGCCTGGCGCGGGGCACGGAGCAGGAGCACGGACAGAGCGCGCTGACCGGGGTGCAGGGGAGCCGGCGGTGTCCTGGCCGCACGTGCTGGGGCAGAGGAGGGGACACCCACGCGAGGCTCTTCAGGCCCGCCTGCCACGTGGGAACGGACTGAAGAGGGAGAAGCAAGGGAGAAGCGCTTGGGCGGGGTTGGCAAGCCTGCGGCTGCGGGACACAGAACAGCTTGGGTGTGAGGAACTCGCTGGAGGCAGAATCCGCGGGAAGGGGCTGAGTCGGCCACGGGGCCCGGGAGAGCGCGGGCACAGGGCTTCCGCCTGAGGCCTTGGGGGCCGTGTGCACCCAGGTGGGAGAGCTCCGGCAGGAATGATCGCGTGGTCCCTGTGTGGGGACGAGGTCATCGGACCCTGTGGGCCGCGGGGAGAGGCGCGTTCCAAGCCCACACCCGACGCCCTCGCCCAGGAACCCGGGGCGGCAGACCTCGTGGAGGGAAATGGGTTCATCAGGCTTCTGCACCGCTGGCCTCCTTGGCCGTCACCCGCAGCCCTGACGGTGCTGACGCAGGCGGGCACCGGGCCGAGGGTGGACAGGACATCTGGGGCAGGAGTGGGCGCACCAGGTGGGCACTCCTGAGGCTGGAGAGCCCAGGGAGAGCAGAAAGATTCGCCACCCCGCCCCCGGCCCCCGCCTGCCTCGTAGGGACTCGGCCGCTGTGTCACCGAGACGGGCCAGGCAGGCCTGACCTCCCGTCACTGCCATTTCGGAGACGCACGGTCCGCGTGGCCTGTTTGTAAACTCAGCTGAGGAGCGTCCCCACATTAGCAAAGCAAAAACTCACGCTCAAAAAAGCTGATGAACATCCGGAGGCGACAAAACCCAGCAAGCCAGGAGCAGGGAGCGCCTTGCTGAGAGCGCCTCTGCAGCCCCCCAGGACCCGGGGAGGGGGGCGGGCGAGGGGCAGCTTCCGGTCACCCCCACCCTGGGCGGGACAGATGGCGAGTCTGGGCGGACGGAGGGGCGAGCGCGGCACCGCGCCCGGGCGGCCTGCAGAGCTCCGTGACCGTGTGCTCGGCCGCCACGGGGGTCGGGAAGCACAGCCCGTGCCTGCAGGGCATCCGGAAGCGCAGAGCCCAGGCGCGGGCAGAGCCACGCCAGCACTGCTGGGAGCAAGACAGCGTGAGGACAGAGCCGCGCCCCGAGGCCTGGGGCCTCGCTGGGGGCCCAGACAGGCGGGAGCGAGGGCCAGGGCAGGCATCAGCCACACCGTGGGGGCCGGGGAACGGCTGTAGCTGCCCCCACCCAGGTGTCCGTTCCGGGGACTGCAGGTCTGGGCGCGGAAAGCTCACGGCTAAAGCATTTGGAGACAGCGGCCCCGGCCTAAGCGCGAGATTCTTAAGTTTCTTGACAAGGTCGCCCTGATGGGCTGCAAAGGCTGCTGGGGAGGCCCTGAGAGCCGGCAGAGGGCTCGCCTGCGGCAGCAGGAAGGCCAGGGAGGCGGCAGGTCGCACAGGGGGACCGAGGAAGCAGCTCAGCCAGGACCAGCCCGGCCACCGCGCGAGTGGATCCCAGGGGCCAGGGTGTGGGCTGGGCCGGCCCTCACGCCAGGGGGGCAGAAACGGCGGCCGCCTCCGAGTTTGAGGTTCCTCACGGAGCGTGACCGGGGACCCTGCGCCCAGGCGCACCAGCCCGCGGGCTGACCGACCGCCTTGGAGAGGGGACAAGGACACATGGGGCTGCTAAGGCGGCCCCTTGCTCAGACCTCAGGCTCCAGGCCGGGGAAGGAGGGGCCTCTGCCTGTGGGTCTTGGCTGGCATGGCCCAGCCGCGGGAGGACACAGCCAAGGCCGTGCTGCAGGTGAGATCGGGGTGGGGCCGCCGGGAGGGCAGGGCAGGCCGGTAAGCCAAGAAGCGGCTCCGCGGGCTGTCCCGGGAGCAGAGGCGCTCAGGGAAGGCTTCCTGGAGGAGGCTGCCTGCGGGGCTCACCCCAGCCCTCCTCCAGCTCAGTCTCCCACGTCGCCTCCCGGTAACAGGACTTTGGGAAAACTCTGCCCGCATGCAGAGCTGAGGTCTAACCTTCTTCATCTTAACTCTTTATAGCTGCACATAGTCTAAACTGCAGCGGCTAGTAGGCCCCGCACCTCAAAACGGAGCTAG